CTCCGGCCCCGCCGCCTGCCGTCCGCCCCGCGCCCCGCGCCCCGCGCCCCGCGCCGGCGCCGTCTTCCTGCCTCCTCCTCCTCCAGAAAAAGTCGCCATTTTGGTTCACTGCCTTCGCCCCCCCGCGTCGCGCTCGGCCTTCCGGGCCAGGGCCAGCCGGGGCCCGCGCCGCCCGCCCGCAGTGACAGGTGGGTGGCCGCGGCCCCAGGCGCGCGCCCGGCCGCCCTCACCTGGCCGGACCTGGCCTTGTCCGGGCCCCGTGCGCGGCGGCGCCCCCTCCCCGAGGCCTCTGCCCAGTCCTCGCAGGCGGGCATGCGACCCCGGACCCCCAACTCTTTAGGAAGCTGGACAGGCCCTGAGCGAGCACCTGCACCAGGCCTCAGGAGTCATCGGGCTGGGGTGACTCATGGCCACTGTCACCTCTCGGAATTGTACAGTGAGGACTTCCAGAGAACTTTGACCTCAGGCCCCCCAATCCCTAGGTCCAGGACGTGGGCTTCTCCACCCTTGGCAATGCACGGTGATTGTCCTGACTTCTGATCTCAGCCTTCTCTTCCCACACTCTAAGATCTGAGTTGATCAGAAAATGTCACACGAGGGCTCATTGGGCTCAGGCCTTGCTCCCTGGTCCTGCCCCCTTGGTGGCTTTGGGTATCTTGATGAGAGGACTCCACAGGGCTAAACTCAGAGCCCCTGCCTACTCCTCAGCTCTCAGGGCTTGAGGACTTCCAGCTGAACAAGTGCCTGGAAGCCCAGCCCTGGGCAGCAAGATGTTCTCTGGCCAGGGCCCGGGAGACTCAAGGCTGGGCCTTTGCATCCTGTGCTGGCCGTGACTTGTTTAGCTGAGGTGGGCCCACTGGCTGCGGTGGTGGAGGGTAGCAGACAGGGGAGGTCAGCTGAACATGAGGCCTCTGTTTGGTGGAGGGGCTCCTGCTGGTTGAGCACAAGGTTGAGAGAAGAGCCAGGCAGGATGGCCAGCAGGCATGGAGACCAGAATGAGATGCTGGTGGGTCCGAAGTCTGCCCACCAGAGAGAGGGAGTGCAAGGGGTTGGGGAGTGGGCTGAGGCCTTCAGCACCCTCCTTGGCTGTCTTGTATGCCTGGGGAAAAGGATCCAGGGCTGCTTGCCCAGTAGGATGCTGCTGCATGGGGTCTGAATGAGAGGAGTAAGAGTTCTGAGGGGAAAGATGTCCCCAAGGTGCCAAGGTCTGGCACCCTGTGAGCCAGCAGTGGTTCCTGGTGCCATAATTGGCCCCCGAGAGGAATGTCGTCAGCCTCCTTCCTCCTGCACAGGCCACTTTTCCTTGGGGACATGCCCTGGCTCCTGATTCTCAGCACACCTTGAGACTGTGAGTCTGCGACAGAGGGAGGGAGTCCCTCCACCTTGGTCATGCCTTCTGTCATGTGGCAGACACAGGAAGGCAGGTCTCCTGGTTGGCCAGAGAGAGGGCCTATCAAGGGGAAGCTCTGGGGTAGCCCTACTGAGCCCCATTGAGCCTCACAGGTCTGTGCACTTGCTCCGCAGAGATGTCTGATCCCTTCTGTGTTGGAGGAGGCCGACGTCTCCAGGGGTCCAGCAAAAGTGGACCTGGGAAGGGTAGCAGCCGGAAAGAAGTCCGACTTCCGGTGCTGCAGGACCCACCGAAGCTGGGTGAGGAGCTAAGGCCAAAATCAATCCCAGAGGGTCACAGACAGCCAGGTAGAAGAGGGCATCTCCCTGATGTCCTAAGTGCCTCGGGGCCTTCCTAGGGTAGAGACTGTCTTGGATAGAGCCTGGAGCCTGGACTCTTGTCCCAGGTTTACCATACCCTTGCCCCTGTGTCTTGGTGTTGGAGAGCCCAGGCTCAGTCCAGGCCTGTGAGCCCTTGGTGGCTGGTGATGCTGTGTGGCCCCTAAGTCCTGCTGCATTGTGTGCTGCAGGGATGCCGGTGGTCCACAGTGGACAGACAGTGCCTGGCCAGGCCCCTCTGTGCTTTGAACCAGGAAGTCCAGCCAGTGACCGGACAGAAGGGAAGAAAAAGGGGCGGCCGAAAGCTGAGAACCAGGCCCTCCGAGACATTCCTGTGAGCTTCTTGAGCCGGGGTGGGGCTTATGCTAGGTCTGCCTATTGAGGCCACTGCCCTGCCCTTAGCTGCCCCCTGCATCCCCTCCCAAGTTTCAGGCCATGGCCTGGAGCCCTCCCATCTGATGTACTGTGAGATCTGGTGGACCATGTTGGTGGCCCCAGCACAGATTTGGAAGAGGGCTTGAATTATTGCTGCAGTCCATAGGTTGAGGGGCTTGTGTGGCCTCTGTGCCCTGTAGGCCTGGGGAGGGCTCTGTGTCTGGAGCACGGGTTGGTAGAGGCCTGGGTGGCTGAGGGTCAGCAGCGCAGGCTTTCCCTATGCCCAGCTCTCCCTTATGAACCAGTGGAAGGATGAGTTCAAGGCACACTCAAGGGTGAAGTGTCCAAACTCAGGGTGCTGGCTGGAGTTCCCCAGCATCTACGGGCTCAAGTACCATTACCAGCGGTGCCAAGGGGTAAGAGGCTGTGGGTTGGGGAAAAGGAGGCTCGGGAGTATGGCTGGGCAGAGGCCCCCCGGGCCCCATCCCACACCTGCCCTCCCTGCCCAGGGTGCTGTCTCAGATAGGCTGGCCTTCCCTTGCCCCTTCTGCGAGGCCGCATTCACTTCCAAGACTCAGCTGGAGAAACACCGGATTTGGAATCACATGGACCGTCCCCTGGCTACCCCGAAGCCTGGCCCTGTCAGCCGGCCAGTGACCGTCAGCCGGCCTGTTGGGGTCAGCAAGCCCATCGGAGTGAGCAAACCAGTCACTATCGGAAAGCCAGTGGGAGTCAGCAGGCCTATTGGCATCAGCAAGCCAGTCACAGTCAGCAGGCCCGTGCCAGTCCCAAGGCCCATGCCGGTCACCAAGCCTGTCACAGTCAGCAGGCCCATAACAGTCACCAAGGCCATGCCTGTCACCAGGCCTGTGCCTGTCACCAGGCCCATTCCAGTCACCAAGCCCGTGCCAGTCTCCAAGCTTGTGACAGTTACAAAACCCGTGCCGGTCACCAAGCCAGTTCCAATCAGCAGGCCCATTGTGGTCAGCAAGCCAGTGCCGGTCAGCAGGCCTGTCGCCATCAGCAGACACACACCGCCCTGCAAAATGGTGCTGCTGACCAAGTCTGAGAACAAAGCACTGCGTGCCCCAGGGAAGAGCAGCGGTAAGAAAAGGTACAGCTCACTCCAAGTAGGGTGTCCCTGTGGCCGTGCTTGGGACTGAGGGCCAAGGACAGGCCTGCGTGGCCCTTACCTTGCCTGCTCTCTGCAGGGCTGCAGACAGCCTGGATCCTTGCCCCATCCCACCCAAGCAGGCCAGGCCCGAGAATGGGGAGTATGGCCCATCTACCACAGGCCAGAGTATGGCCTTCCAGCTGAGCACCGACCCCAGCAATAGCTCCCTGCTGCTGGGAAGCAGGCCCTCGATGGGGAAGGAGGTGCTGCGGCCTGCGGGCCCTGTGTTCCCACCTGAGGAAGACCCAGAGCGCACAAAGCACAGTAAGATGAGAGCCCTGGGGTAGCAGCTGGGGTGGGCTCTGGCCTCTGGATGGTTATTTGACCAGAATCTTGGTTCCTGTTTCTCTCCCCCGAGTCAGGAAGGAAACAGAAAACACCCAAGAAGTTTACAGGGGAGCAGCCATCCATCTCAGGGACCTTTGGGCTCAAAGGTGAGACTACAGACTGCTTGACCTCTCGAGGACTGGGTGGGTCCCCAAGTGTACCAGTGCTCTGTGCCCATGGCTCCCCATCCCGACCTGCATGTGCACACAGGGCTAGCCAAAGCCGAGGACAAGGCCCGAATTCACCGCTCCAAGAGGCAGGAGGGGCTGGGCCCGGAGGACGTACGCAAGAAGGTGCCAGCTACCCCCATCACTGTCAGCAAGGAGGCGTCAACTCCTGTGACTCACCCTGCCCCAGGTGGGGCCACCTGGCAGGGACCCAGGGCAGGTCTTGATGGGGGATGGTTTCCATAACCAGGCATGGGGGCCAACTGCGGTCCTTGGGTGCTACACCTGGTGTCCAAGGCGTCCAGGAGCCCTGCAAGCCCCTGAGGCTCTGGCCCTGCCTCACAGGTGGCCCTGAAGAGCAGTGGCAGCGAGCCATCCATGAGCGGGGGGAGGCCGTCTGCCCCACTTGCAATGTGGTCACCAGGAAGACTATCGTGGGACTTAAGAAGCACATGGAGGTGTGTCAGAAGGTAAGGCTGCCCCAGGAAGCACTGAGAGAGGGGAGACTTTGGCCCCTGTTGTGCTCCATGCCTGGGCTGTGTCCACAGCTGCAAGATGCGCTCAAGTGCCAGCACTGTCGGAAGCAGTTCAAGTCCAAGGCTGGCCTCAACTACCACACCATGGCTGAGCACAGTGCCAAGGTATGCTCTGTGGCCTTCAGCTCCCCATCCAGCCCTGACGGCTGACCTCATACCCCCACTCCATTGCCTGACCCTGGACCACCCAACCTGCCCCAAACCCTGGGCTGGTGCCAGGTCTGAGGCTCATCTCTCTCCAGCCCACTGATGCTGAAGCCTCAGAGGGGAGTGAGCAGGAGGAGCGGGAGCGGCTTCGAAAGGTGCTGAAGCAGATGGGGCGACTGCGCTGCCCCCAGGAGGTCAGTAGAGGGGCACACACAGGGCACAGGGTTGGGTAAGGAAACAGCACCTTGCTGGGTGCTTATCCGACATTTGACCCGGACCTCCAGGGCTGTGGGGCTGCCTTCTCCAGCCTCATGGGCTATCAGTACCACCAGCGACGCTGCGGGAAGCCGCCCTGCGAGGTAGACACTCCCTCCTTCCCCTGCGCCCACTGTGGCAAGACCTACCGCTCCAAGGCTGGTCATGACTACCACGTGCGCTCAGAACACACGGCTCCGGTGAGTGGCCTATGGTCCCCCATGTCCTTATGGCTCTCGTGTACCCTGTGCTGTGGCACCATGCTGTTTCTTGTGCGCCACACATGTGTTCACATAGCAGTGCATCTTCTGATAGGTATGGCCCCTGCTCTCTGTAATTCACTTGTGTCCCCGTGGGTGGGAGGGTGAGTGCCTGGGATCGCAGAGCTGCCTGTGTCACCCACACCCCAAACACCTGTATATGTACCTTGGGTCCTTGTGCCTTTGGGGGCCCTCACCCTGCCCTGACTCACTGTTTGGCTGTGGTGCTTCTGCGGTTCACCTTGGCTTCTGGGCGTCTCTGCCCTGCAGCCCCCCGAGGAATCCATGGACAAGACCCCTGAGGCAGAGGACCTGCTGGGTGTGGCCCGGACCCCAAGCGGTCGCATTCGCCGCACATCGGCCCAGGTTGCCGTGTTCCATCTGCAGGAGATCGCAGAAGATGAGCTGGCCCGCGACTGGACCAAGCGGCGCATGAAGGACGACCTTGTGCCTGAGACTGCACGGGTAAGCTGTCCACCGGAGTGCACGGGCAGCACTGTGGCTGGGGTCATACCCTGCTTGCTCCTCAGAGCCCCAGCCTTCTGGCCTCTGAGCAGGACATGCCTCAGCCCAGAACTCCCTGCGACAGCCACACTCCTTTTCTGCTGACCTTCTCTGAGGGGCCAAATACCCTGCTATTGAGGCAGGTGGTCTCAGAGCAGAGGGGTGCCTTGCCCTGAGGCTCACTTTGGTGCTGTGCCTGGCTTTACAGCTGAACTACACTCGGCCAGGCCTCCCTACACTCAACCCACAGCTGCTGGAGGCATGGAAGAATGAAGTCAAAGAGAAAGGCCACGTAAACTGCCCCAACGATGTGAGCTGGGGCAGACTGGTGGGGGGGTGGGGGGGCGTTCCAGGACACAGCCTAGGTGAAGCCTTTTGGGTAGCAGCAAAGACTAAGACACACCTGTCAGGAAATGGCCAGCCTCAAGGTGACCAGTCCACCTCTGATTCTGGGCTCCAGCAAGGTCCTCATACAGAGACTCTTGTCCTCGGAAGGGACCTCAGCCTTAGGCCCTATATGTCCAACTTCCTCATGCCCCAGGACTCCTGGGGTCAGACCCATCCATCTGCCCTAAAGAGGTCCCAGAACTCCCTGGGGCTAAGGCGGGGTGCACCTTTGTGTGGGATGCCTCAGGAGGACCTCCCCCCACGGCTGTCTCCTGCCTGCAGTGCTGCGAAGCCATCTACTCCAGCGTGTCTGGTCTCAAGGCCCATCTTGCCAGCTGCAGCAAGGTCAGTTCTGGGGCCTCCCATGGCCTGATACGTGCTTAGCATACCAGCTTTCTTCTGCCATGGGTCCTTACGTTATCATGAGATAATGCATCGCCTTGCCCCCATGCCCCCATGCGCAATTTCAGAGACTGGTTGGTGCCAGACAACTGGGCCAGGAACCTACTGTTGTCCCCTTCTCCTAGCCATGAGCCAGTCTTTCCCGAGCCCTTGTTGGGACTCCATTGGGGCTCCTTGTGTATGGGTATGAGTGTCTAGTCACCCCAGCCAGGGCAGAAGGCACACTGACTTGGGATAAGGACCCTCAGCAAGCCAGTAGTGGCACACACCTGTAATCCCAGCACTCTGGGAAGCTGAGAAGATCACAAGTTTAAGCCCAACCTGAGCAATCTAGCAACTTAGCAAGACCTTGTTTAAAAAAAATAAAAAGGGTTAGAGATCTAGCTCAGTGCAAAGGCCCTGAATTCAATGCCCAGTACTCTGGAGTGGGGGTGGGGGACTCAGGAAAGATCTGCAACCCTTCCCTGGGCACCAGCCTCTTCCTATCCTCCTAATCCCCCAACCTCCCTACAGCAGGAACAATTCAGTGGTCCTGCTACAAAGTGACCTTGCAGGTCTCAGGAGCCCACCTGTTGGGCCCCTGTCCTGTCATAGCACAGCTTCCTCTGGGTGCCCCTGACCCTTGATCAGTGGGGTAAGGGCTTTGGTGCTCTGAGGATTGGGTTCTAGGTTGCCCATGCTTTGCAGGGGGACCACCTGGTAGGGAAGTACCACTGCCTGCTGTGTCCCAAAGAGTTCAGCTCTGAGAGCGGTGTCAAGTACCACATCCTCAAGACTCATGCAGAGGTGGGAGAGTAACACAGGGTTGGGGGGTGGGGGGCACTGGCCCAGGATGGGTAGGGGCAGGATCCAGTGTGGTGGGGAAGGGCTGGGCCAAGTAGTTGGTGTATGTTTGAGTAAGTGGCCAGTGGTGAGCAGTCTGGGAGTCTGTCCTCAAAGTGGTGCCCTGCTTCGGTGGCAGAGCTAATAGGCTGGGCCGCCCCAACCTGGCATCCTGAGCAGGAGCCACCCTGGGTGGGAGCCTACCCCTCAGCCACCTCACTGCAGTTGGCCGCCTGGCCTGAAGGTGGCTGAGTGCAGCGCTGGGGCAGGGTCCCTGGTCCTCACTGCAGCTTTTCTCTTCCTAGAACTGGTTCCGGACCTCAGCAGATCCACCTCCCAAACACAGGAGCCAGGACTCCTTGTTGCCCAGGAGAGAGAAAAAGAAAACCCTGGGGGGTGGGAAGAAGCGGGGCCGCAAGCCCAAGGAACGGCCCCCTGAGGAGCCTGTGGCCAAGCTGCCCCCGAGCCGGGACGACTGGCCCCTGGGAGGCAAAGACAAGGGCGCTCGGGGCTCCACTGGGCGGAAGGTGGGAGCTGGCAAGGCATGTGAGAAGTGAACCTAGTCGGTGGGGCCCGGCCCCATGCCGGCCAGTAAGCCCCACTCTGGTGCAGAGGACCCAGCTGTGGACCTGACCTCCACCCCCGACCCCCGTCTGTCTGTCCCGTGAGTGTGGCCAGCTGCTCTCCCTCCTGCTCAGGCTGCCTCAGGGCACACCTGGGCTGGTCTCTCCTGGGCACCAGGGCAGCCGCAGAAGTGCAATAGCCGGGGCAGGGCAGCCCTTCCTGGGAGGGCATCCATGGGCCTGGCAGGGACACGGCCTCGGCACTATGGTGATGCAGTGCAGAGCAGCCGGAGGGCTTTGGCTCCTGTCTCTGCTTCCTTAGGCCCGGTTGGCTCCCCACCCTCGCTTCCCAAGGCTCCTGGTGACCTGCGGCTCTGGGCTGATGAGGGCACTTGAGCAGCCTTGCCTCTACCCAACACTGGACTCCAGTACCCCAGCTACCTCCCAGGACAGACCCCGTCTGACCACTGCCATACTGACCTGAACCCACCTGGCTCCCCATGTCCACCCAGTCTGGTTCCTCTGCTTTTGTTTTCTACCTCTCTGGGCCTGTTCCTCCCACCCCCACTCCTGCCCCCATCCCCCAGGTCGCCCCTGCTGTGCTTCAGGCCTCCCCCACCTGTGTCATCCTGACAGGGCTTTCCTGCATGGTCCCCAGCAGTGCATCCTGCTTGGCACGAGGGAAGGACCCTACTTAATTCCACTGGCAGGGACTGGAGCCCCAGGCATATTGGGGAAGGCTAGCATGTCTGTCTCCAGCTTGTGGCCTGTGGCCTGAAGCAGTCTGTCTGTCTCACTGGGGCCAGGGCTGGGCTAAGGGGGCTCAGCGATGAGGAGTCACCCCTGTGGGAGACAGCCTCCATCTTCCAGACAGTACTGGCCCAGAGGCTGAGCTGTGGAAGTCCTCCTCCTGCTCTTCCTTTCTTACCTGCCCCTGTGTATCTGGTGGCATGGTCTTTTTGATACAGACCCTGAAGGCCAGTGCTTGGGAGGGGCCCATGGCCAAGGTGGTGGCTCCAGGGCTGTCTTCCCCTTTGGGGCCCTGAGGACAGGAGGATCTACAGGTTGGACAGGCGTCAGGCAGGGATCCCAGGGTGCCTGGAGGTGGCCATACAGCTTCTGGTCTCCCTGGCTGCACCTTCCAACACTGGTACAGGGAGGAAGATGCTTAGAGGAACTTTTGGACTGAGGCCATCTTCTGGGGTGGGGGTGCTGAGGGCTCGGCCTCGCTGATCCTGGATGATGTGAATTTTGATATTTGCCTGTGTGCGTGTCTCCTGGGTGTAGTGGATGCCAGTCTTGTTGCTGTGACAAGTAACAACTTTTTTAAATTCTGTTTTTTATACGAAAATTTCACAACAATCTGACATTTTGGTGCTAAGGGTTTCCTGGTGCCAGAGATGGGCCTGAGCTGGCCCAGGACTGTGGCCAGGCCTCTCTACTGACCAGTGGGCTGTGTTGACTGGGTAACCCCTCTCCCAGCAGGGATGGGGAGGTGCACTTGGGCTTTCCCTGCCTGCAGGAGAGAGCAGCTCCAGAGGGCTTTGCGGGTGCTGTGCTCTTTCTGTCTGGGAACGATAACTCTGGACAGTCCAGAGAGGGGTGTAGAGGATGTGTATTACTCCACACACCTTCATCTTGTTCAGAGTATGGCAGCTAGGCAGAAGTGGGTTTGATCCAGTGATGAAGGGTAGGCTGGGACTCGGACAGGAGGGCTGTATATCTATTCTGAGTGCTACAGTTGTGTGCAGCTGGGGAATGTGGAGGGGAGAGAGGCCCTGGTGCACTTCGCCCTTGTTACCTATGGTGAAGGAGGTTAGACCCCCCAACACCATTCTGCAGGGTATGGCTGCCTGCCCCAGCCTCTCAGGTACTTGGCACTTGAGGGGAGGAGGGTGACCTGTTTTTTTTGCTGGGGGTTGAGTTTCCAGGACACCTCTCAAAGCCCACAGGTAGTCCCTGTGTGGCCAGTGGGGGTCCTGGATAACTTGTTTAGCACTTTAACTCCCTTGTCTTTGAAGTGGATGTAGGGGGTGTGCTGCCAGAAGTGGCTGTTGGGTCAGACCCTTCCCTCTCTCCTTCCTCTCTGATACTAGCTGGTCTGTAGAGTCCTCAGCCCAAGAGAGTAGGGCCCTGGGCAGGGCTCTGCAGGGTCAGCTCCCCTCCCAGTCAGGGCAAGGTGACCACTGGCCTCCATAGACACTCAGTAAAAGGACCAGCATGGCAGACCCCCATGGTCTGGAAAACATGCACCTTGGAGGCCCATACCCTGGGACCTTGGCAAAATGAAACAGTCGGGGTCTCCCTCTGCAGATCTACCTCTGGCTCAGTGCAAGCCCTGCCCTCTGAATAGAAAAGTGCCCCAGGGACTGACACTTAACACAAAAATGGGATGCACTTTATTTATCTGTACAGGCAGATGAGGGTGTATCCTAGGTTCCAGTGGGCCTTCCAATCCCTTTTGTGGTTCTGAAGGGAGACCCTGGGAGAAGAGGCTGTCCCTGTGAGTCCTAGCTGTGTGGGCCCAGGCAGCTTGCCTTTGAGTCTGGGTTCAGGAGCGTCAGTGGGTCACTCCTTCTGCCTGAAAGCCCATGCGTCCTAAACTTTAGGTATCTTTTTTTTTTTTTAACTTAGTTCTCAGTACACAAGTGCATTTTGAAAGACAGGTTCTAGCTATCACTTGTAACCATATATATACATATATATTCTATCTACAAAGTGTTTATTTGCAAGATGTTTTGACTGTGAGCTTGGGCCCTGCCCGCCTTGTGACCATCTGTCCCCATCCTCGTCCCCGCCCCGCCCCCTAGATCGGAGTGGCGGGGGCAGGCCATCAACTGTATGTATTAGAAATTACTGTATCAAATAAATGTTTATTGATTTCTTTTCCAGGGCATTTTGTGCGGCTGAGTTTGTGCTAAGGCGCCCAAGCTTCCGCCATGCTAGCGCGCCAGCGCGCGCGGCCTTCTGGGACTTGTAGTCCGCAGGCGCCTCGAGCTCGGGCGGGCGCTCCCGGCAGCTGCCTGGAATCCCGGAGCCATGGCTGCCCCGCCGGCCTCCGCGAACGCCGCCCCCTCGCCCCCGCTGCCCCCCGCGGCCCCGGACGCGTCGGGCCGGCAGGCGGAGCACAGCGAGGCCGCGAGCGAAGACCGGTAGGCGCGGCTCGAGCAAGGAGGGGACAGCGCGCGCCCTTCTGTCCGCGGGGGAGGGGAGGGGTCGCTGCGCGGGCGGCCGAAGCTCCCTCGGTCGGGCAGCCGCCCTGAGACTAGAGCGCCTCGGCCTCGCCCGGTGGGCAAGCCCTGCCCCTGGGCGCCGTGGCCGCCTGGGCCCCCGCCCACGGGCGGAGCTTTCCGGGGTCGCAGCGTGCCCAGCTCTCCACGCCCCCGGCCGCGTGTCTGCACCTCTCGAGGAGGAGCGGGAAAGGGGAGCGGGCGGCCCGAGCGGCTGGCAGCAGGGGCATGGGGTGGCTCGGCTTGCGTCCCGGCTGGAGGGCCCCCGGCCCTGAGCACCCGGGTGGGCCATATGTCCCCCCTGTCCTTCCCAGCGCGTCGTGTTCTGGCCGAGGTCTCGCCTTGGGCCAGCGGTCTGGCTCCGTGGTGGCACAGAGGGTGCCTCCGGCTGTGTGGGCCCTCGTGGAGCACGAAAAGGGAAGTGGGCTGCGTGGAAGCCCGTGTCCACCCACCTTGGTCACACGGTGCGGCGCCTCCCGGCCGTGGCCGCCAGGGGGCGGAGACCGCGCTCCCTGGGCGCCGCCCTGGGAGGACCCGGCCGCCCTTCCCCGAGCCGGCGGGCGGAGCGGGTGCCGGGACGTCTCCGGGACGGCCTGGACTCTGGGCTCCTCCCACGGCGGGCGGCAGCCTGCGTGGCTCGGATCTGTAGGGCTGGAGTAGGAGTGCTCGTTGAGCCAAAGTCTCTTGATGTGACCAGGAGCAGAGAGACCGTGGCCAGATACTGAGGGATCACGACGACACAGACTGTCCTGGGCACCGCGTCCTCACCGAGCCTCTGATGGTCGGTCGGTCGGGGGCGCAGGGCTGCTGCACTGGGGGTCCGGGTAGACCTCGTGTCCAGACGGGGCCTCTCAAGCTCGCCCCACGGCGCCGGCTCAGAGCTGGTGCCTGCTAGGCTCGCGGCTTGTCTTCGGCACCCTCCGCCCGAGCAGGGTAGGGAGGGCCCGTGGCACCTGCCCCCGGGGGAGACCTGGCTTCGGAGTGGAGGGAGGCTGGCTGTGTCCGCCCAAACTGTGTCCCAGAGTGGCAGGATGGGGCCCCAACCCTGCGGCCACTCTCTGAACGCTGCTCCGCTGTCTCGTCCCTGCAGCCCGAGGCTGGACGCTGGACATTGGCTTCCGTTTTCCAGACCCTTCCATTTGAGGTCTGTGCCAGTACTTCTTTCCACGGTCCCTCCCAAGAACTTTGGGTTGTGGTTTTTCTGGCCAGGGACGCTCACTGCTGGGCGGCCTACTCGAGAGTCTGCGTGTCTGACCTTGCATCCTCACGGTGCCACTACATGTGGGGCACTTAGTGCCAGTGAGAAACCGCCTCCTTCTCAACCTGTAGTGCACCTGCTCCTGCCCTTGAGGAGGGCACAGAGACCAGCTGCAGCTCCAAGTGAGTGGTGGAGGGGTCTGAGCCACATGCAACCATGCCGCGATGCAGTCACAGAAGAGACTGGGAAGCCTCTGGCACCACCTACCTCAGGCAGCCCTGGAACCTGAAACAGCATAGGTGTTTAGCCAGCCAGGCTCTAGGAATGGCTGACAGCAGCATTATCCCCTGGGAGGAGAGCGGCCAGTCGGAGCTCTTTTGCTCGCTCCAGCCGGGTATAAGGACTTGGGGGTGGGCGGGAACTGGTGATCCTGGGAGGCTGGCTGTTGTGTGGCCAGACCTGCCATTCTGTTGGTACCCTATCTGTGCACCTGGGTCGGGTCAGATCTTCTAGCCCCGAGTTGGGTGGGCTTTCCCATGGACTCGTAGCCTTTCTCCCCACCCAGGAAACATGCCAGGTTGACTAGCCTGATTCCCCCTTCTGCTGCACAGACAGCTAGAGCAGGTGGACTGAGCACCAGGAGCCCAAATCTGCACCCCTGCCCAGGTCAGCTTCAACCTCCCTGAGCACAGGCCAGGCCCCACTCATCTGCCCAGGCCTGGGGTGAAGCCGGCCAGCCACCTGTGGTGTTCATTCTCCAGGTGCCTTCAGAAGGGAGGCAGACAGCTCCAGGATTACCTGGGCGGTCAGGAGAAGCTGCCTTCACAGCAGATCCCAGGAGTACCCCCTTCTGCCAGATGTGTGAAGCCCATGTGGAACCTTCCTTTTCCCTGAGTCCCGGCCAGTGCCTGTCTCAGTGCCGGAAGCCAGATACCCGCAAGGCTACCATGGCAAAAGGGACCTGGCACACATAATCCATCTGCCCCAGGAGGTAGCCTGGGGGCAGCCAGAGCCTCTCTGCACAGATCTGAGTCTGTAGAGGGATTTCAGCTGTTCCACCCTTGTTGAGGGCGGAGCCAAATTCTCCCTTCCACCTGTTGCTGTGGGGAGGAGGTGGCAGTGCCCCTGCGGACTGCTGAGCACTGGGTGGCTACGGGGCCCTGCTGGAGCCTCTGTGAGGTGGGGGTGGGGCAGTTATTCTTGGCTGCTGCTGGAGGGTAGAATTTCAGATTTGTTTATGCCTTTAGGAGGCACTTCAGAGCCAAAGGTGGGGCGTCCAGCTCAGCACTAACATTCAAGTCACTTGGTCACCGGGAGGGTCCTACGGCGGGGTGGGGATCGTGGGAGGGTGCTGGAGCACAGTGGCCCTGGGCAGGCCCAGGCAGGCAAGCCTGCAAGCCAGTGCAAAGGCAGGCAGTCCGCATTTGGGGCTGCCCTGGGGACTGTGCAGGCCACACTAGGCAAAGTCAATGCTATTAATATCTGGCGCGTGAGCCCCAGCTGGGTGATCCTCTTATGCCTGTGGCTTTGGCCTCTGAGGCCAGCAGCAAGTGTGTGCCATTAGTACAGTGGGCTCCTGAGGCCTCCCACCTTCTGTGCTTCTAGCCCCTACATAAAGCAGACAGCCTCTGTCTGCCAGGGCTCCAGCCCCACCCAGCTCTTTACCTGCTGAGCTGCCCATAAGAGTGGTTCCATTATGGAGGGCCAGTTCAGGTAGCAAGAGCTCCTGAACTGCCTTGGGAAGCTGCTGTGGATTTAAGAGGACGCCATGCCTCCGCTAACTGCCAGTGCCTAAGCCACACACTCTTGGGAGCACCCACCTCCAGGATCTCCGTGCCTACTGTGTCCTTAGCCATGAGCAACGCCCCTGCTTACCCTGGCATCCGGATCTCAGGGTGCTGGGCCCTTGGAGCAGAAGGCAGGTGAGTCAGAGCACAGTCCTTGCTGGTGAGGACTCTGCCTTCGCAGTGGTGCTGGCCAGTCCCAACCTGTGTGTGGTGCAACCTGCGTGCAGTTCGTGTCTATGGATATCAGGAAACAAACAGGCTGGCAGGCACGCTGGGGAGTCTGGCGCGGCTTGGGCCGAAGGCGTGGTTTTGCTTAAGGCTGTTGGTTGTGGATGCGTCTTGTGTCAGCTGTGGCTCATAATCCTTTGGGCTGAGATTAATTTTTGTCAGAAACACCCTTGTCCATCTGTGCATGGGAAACAGGGTCTTGTGTGCAGACTTTCCTTCTCTAGGGTACTTCTTGTGGGACAGCAGAGCTGGGCTGCGTGTGGGCACAGCCTGACGGTGTCTGGGCCCATCAGAAGCAGGGTCAGCCAGGTTTTCTCCAACTTGTTGCTGGGTGCTCTTCCCAGCTGGTCTGCACCAGGCTCAGCAGCACAAACCTGCCAGGGGAGCTGTGGTTGTGGTGGGGAGGAGCCGCTGATAGGGGGCTGTGTAGTGAGCACCAGGGAGGGCAGGGACAGCCACAGCCCAGACTTCTGCCCAGTGTCAGTCCAAGTCGGTCCTGCTCTATACCACTCACCAGTGAAATCCAGAGCTCAACACAGGCAGCTCTGGGAACGTCCTTCACCCTCCCCTCCCCCCAAGCTTGAGCCAAAGGGCGATTCCCTGCAGCTGGTGGGGGAAGCACAGAGAGGAGGGGCCAACCTGTGTTTCCTGTCTGCTCCCTGTGGCCCCCAGGGTCAGCTGGAGCTGCCTCTGGCCCAAGGGGGCTGCCACTCCCCCAGCTGTGGGGCAGCCTATTGGGTGGGCCTGGCAGAGCCATTTCTGTACTGTTGGTGGATTAGTGTGCCCGGGTGACCAGCCAGCTGCACTGTGTCCGAGATCTGAGACATGACTGACTGTTTATGAGTCCTGCCTCTCCCTTCTATCTTAGAGCCATCCAGGCAGACCTGAGTCCATCACAGGCTGCCCTGCTCCCATCTTGGTGCACAGTGGAGCATTGTTGTCCCCAGGCTCCCTGCCTGGCTGTTTTGTAGCTGGCTGTGTTGTTTGTGCTCTGCCTGCTGCCAGTGCCAGTGCTCAACTCCAGAGCCAGAGGTGAGACTAAGTTCAGAAGACTGGCTAACTACTCCCCAAGCTCTCCTCAGAGTAGATGGCATGGACAGCCAGGCCTCTGTCCTTGAGGACAAGTCCAGTGTTTTCCTTGTCAGACAGATGGGTGGTCTTTTTGCTGCTCAGGCTGGTGCCCATGTTGCTCTGTGCCTTTGAGAGCTGCCAGTGTGACCGGTCGTACATTATTAGGGTTCAGCTCCTTCCACCCGCCACACTCCAGTAGACCCCATTTCCAGGACGTGGAAATTGCAGGGTACTCTGGGAGGAGCACAGCCCCAGGAACAGCACCCCTATCCCAGGGCAGGAGTGTACTTGTCCCACCCCATGTCCTCTGTGTGTGCCGGCCTTGGGAAGCACCGCATGGGCCTCTGGGCAGCAGCTGCAGCAGAGGCAGCAGGACAGCCAGCTTCACCGGCAGACCATGGTGTGGTTTATGACGGCAGTGAGCCATGTACTTACAGTGAATGTAGAAGAGCCTCTGCTCCAAATCCCGGTGCCCAGAGCAATCCCAGTTACAACTAATGTGTCCATTTCTAGCTGTTTTTATGCTCACAGGCAGCAACTCGAAGTCGCATTCCATTGGTGATTCTTCATCTGCTGGGTGGTTTGTTTTGTTTTGTTTTTGTGAGGCTGGGGATTGAACCCAGAATCCCAAACAAACTAGGCATGTGCTCTACCACTAAGCTACATCCCTCCAGCCCTTTTAATTTTATTCTTTTTTTTTTTTTTTTGGTACTGGGTATTGAACTCAGGATCTTGCAGTTGCAAGGCAGGCGGTGGAACCACTGAGCTAGATCCCTGGCCCCTTTTAATTTTATTCTTTTCTTTTTTCTTTTTTTTTTTTGGTACTGGGGATCAAACTTGGGTCCTTGCGCTTGCGCAGCAGGCGGCAAAACCACTGAGCTAAATCCCGGGCCTTTAATTTTATTCTTAACACATGGTCTCACTAAGTTGTTTAGGCTGAACGTAAACTTTCAATCCTCCTGCCTCTGCCTCCAGAATAGCTGGAATTACAGGTTTGTGCCACCATACCTGGCTTATCTGCTGGGTTTCTCTATAAATGGAGTCACATCTTTTTGTAGTTTGATTTTCTCACCTAACCACGCTCCAGGACTCACCTGGTATTCTCTGCAGTGTTCATCCCTTGTGCAGTTCCAGATCGTGGTGGGCAAGCTGCACTGCGGTGGAAGCACCCTGCAGGGAGCTGGCCCTGCACGCCCACCTGCTCTTCTCTCCTTTCCTTTCCTTTCCCTCCCCTCCTCTACCCCCTCCTCTTCCCTCTCCCCCTCCTTTTAGTTGTTTCTTTTTTTTTTTTTTTTTTGGTACTGGGGGTTGAACTCAGGTCCTTGTGCTTGCGAGGCAGGCGGCAGAACCACTGAGCTAAATCCCCGGCCCTAGTTGTTTCTTTTTGTGTTGTTTTGATGTGGTTTTTGAGACAGGATCTCAATCTATAACCCAATCTGTTCTCAAACTTTCAATGCTCCCGCCTCAGCCTCCTGAATGCTGGGGTTACATGTGTGGTATATCGTTATAGCTAGCTTCTATCTGCTATTTCTGTAGATATCTCTCCTGCCCACCAGGTGCTCTGCCCTGTGTAGTCATTCCCAACATGGGTGGGCCATGACCTGCCAGGCCAAGCCACTGACCCCTGAGAACCTGTTGGGCACCCTGAAAGGTGCTGCTGGCGACGCTGTGACCAGTCTCCCTCCCTGTGTACAGTGGCCCCTGCCCAGTCTGGATGTCTGTAGCACCGTCCGACCAGGCTCTGCCTCAGGACAGGCCAAACCGGTGGCAGGTATGCCTCGCAGCTGATCAAGTCTTCCCTTTGGGGACACGAGCCAATGCATGATTAGCAGCTCCGCCTGAGTAGTGGTGTAGATGGACACAGGCTCAGGTCTGCACCTCCCTGGGTTGAGTTTCCAAGAGCAGCCCCCCTTCTCCATGGTGGCTCGGGGTCTAGCTCTGTAGTCAGCCCAGACTGGTGTTTACTGGATGCTGGAGTTTCTACCTTGAGGACCCAGGAGGGATCATGGTGAGAACAAGTGGCTTCCCTGCAGGGCTCCTAGCCTGGGATCTCCTTTTTGTTGTTGTTGTTGTGTTGTGGTACTGGGGATCGAACTCGGGTCCTTGCACTTGCGCAGCAGGCGGCAAAACCACTGAGCTAAATCCCTGGCCATGTTGTTGTTTCTTGAGACTCACTATGTAGTTCAGACTGGTGTTGAACTCATTGTGTAGCCCAGGCTGGCCTCAAACTTGCAGCGATCCTCCTGCCTCAGCCTCCTGAGTGCTGGATTAGAGGTGTGTGCCACCACGCCTGGCTTCTTGCCATATGTCCTGTGCTCTGACAGCCAGTGAGGCCTGGCAAGGCACCATCCTGCATGTGCCCTCTCGTGCAAGCTGGGTTGAGCCACCCATCCTAGCTGAGCCTGTGCCTTCAGGGACACATCCCACAGACCCCTTCTCTGGGTGCGACTCTGGTCCCAGGGAGCCCTGGGCCTGGCCCAAATATATCTCTCTTTCCAGTAGCAACGCAGGGTCCCTGGACAGACTCCTGCCCCCCGTGGGTACTGGGCACTCACCCCGGAAGCGGACCACCAGCCAGTGCAAGTCTGAGCCACCGCTGCTGCGCACAAGCAAGCGTACCATCTACACGGCAGGACGTCCTCCCTGGTACAACGAGCATGGCACTCAGTCCAAGGAGGCCTTCGCCATTGGTGAGAGGAGTGTGGGGAGGTGCCGCTGGGACCCCCTGTGTAGCGAGCCCTGCTGCTCCTGACCAAGCACATCTCTTCTGGCAGGGCTGGGCGGTGGCAGTGCCTCTGGGAAGACCACTGTGGCTCGGATGATCATTGAGGCACTGGATGTGCCCTGGGTGGTGCTGCTGTCCATGGACTCCTTCTACAAGGTGAGCCACTGCCCAGCTCCCAGAGCACCCTGCATCCTCCCTCTGACCCGTGTCCCCTGCAAATGGAGACCCATGCTCCCTGGGCCTTTGCACGGCCGAGCCAGGAGCTGTGGGCAAGCACCCTTCTGGGTTCCGTGGCTCCCACAGGTACTGACACAGCAGCAGCAGGAGCAGGCTGCCTGCAACAACTTCAACTTTGACCATCCAGATGCCTTTGACTTTGATCTCATCATTTCTACTCTCAAGAAGCTGAAGCAGGGCAGGAGTGTCCAAGTGCCCATCTATGACTTCACCACCCACAGCAGAAAGAAGGAATGGGTAAGGCCCAGGGTTTCAGAGGGGGCTGCAGAGGTGTCAGCCAGACCTTGAAACCCCCTGGGTTCCTTTGCAGAAAATGCTTTATGGTGCAAATGTCATCATCTTCGAGGGCATCATGGCCTTTGCTGACAAGACATTGTTAGAGGTGAGGACCTGCTAGGACCACCCACCAGGCGGGTGTCCCTGTCCCTTAAACATGCTTCCCCCAGGAAGGCCCTGTTAACCTGTCCTCAGGGCCACTCACTCTGCTGCCTGAGTGGGCCCCTCCCCACCGCCAGGAGGTTGCAGGAATGCCCCAGGCGTGATACACCTTGGTCCATCTGCTGGGCAGGATGGCAGGTGTGACTGCCAGGGACAGTGGTTTCCTCTGCCACTATCTGAGTCCTGTGCCTGTATCTCCCCTGTTCTTTACATTCTTCTTCCTTGCTGAGGTACGTGTGAGGACTCCAGACCAAGGAGTTTGAGGGGTTACTGTAGCTCATGTGGGCTGAGTTTGATCTTGGCTCAGACCCAGAGGATGCCACTGTCTGGCATACAGCAGCACCAGCCCCAACACAGCTCCTCGAGGGACATGTGTCACCTGCTAAGTGGCAGGGCCACACCCAGAGCTCACTAAGTCGCAGGTCCCCCAGTGTTCACAGGAGCTGCAGTGAGCAAAGTGTGCTCGTGCCACCCAGCTCTGCTGCTGCCTGACCCTGTCCTGAGCCCTTGACCTACAGTGCCTCTGCCACACATGTGGGCTTGGCACCCACAGTCCCACCTCTTGTGTTCACATCTGGACACACACTCCTGCCTGTGCATCCCGCCCAGGCCCAGCACGCAGACCAGGTCTTGGGTCAGTAGCTGACCCCATGTGGCCATGTTGGCTCTGCCCTCCTTGACAGGTCTGTGACAGCCCTGCTGGGGCTGCGCTCAGCCCCGCTCATTGGCTCACTGTCCCTTTCTAGCTCCTGGACATGAAGATCTTTGTGGACACAGACTCTGATATCCGCCTGGTGCGGCGGTTGCGCCGGGACATCAGTGAGCGAGGCCGGGACATCGAGGGTGTCATCAAGCAGTACAACAAGTTTGTCAAGCCTGCCTTTGACCAGTACATCCAGCCAACCATGCGCCTGGCAGATATTGTGGTGCCCAGAGGTGAGGCTGCCAGGTCACTGTGGGGTGGGGCAAACAGGCCACCTAGCCTCCAAGTTACCCTCCTCCGTCTGCCCAGGAAGCGGGAATACAGTGGCCATCGACCTGATTGTGCAGCACGTGCACAGCCAGCTGGAAGAGGTGAGCTGACCAGACGCACCGCCTCCCACTCCGCCGCCCACCCACAGTAGCCTGTGCTCTTGCGTCACACCCTGCGTCGCTCGGAGGTGCCAGTCTTTGAGTGTCTTGGGCACGGTCAGCCCAGGCCCCTGCCCCTCATGCTGCCTGGGGTTCACAGGCCTCAGGCCCCAGCCAAGGACCGGGCCACTGCCTGCCCAGAGCTGAAGAATGGTCTTGCTCAGAAGGGCACACTCTTGTCCTTCCCAACCCTTTGGGGACAACAAGGGGGACTCACTGCTCCACTGGCCCAGGACGTGGGGTTTCAGTGCTGAGCTCCACATTGGTCAGTGGCTCCTGTCCCACGGCTTGTCCTGGAGTGACACTCCCACCGCAGGACCAACATGGGACATTTGGTGGCTGGCGTTCGAATCCGGGCATGGTCCCCAGTGCACTTTGGAGCCCCAGAGCCTGCAGAATGGGCACAGGGGACCTGGCTTTCGCTGCCCCGATCCAGAGCCACAGGTCTTGGCCAAGTGGTCCCACACTTGAGGCCATTAGAAGCTCGCCCCTCCCCCTGCCGGCAGCTGCCTGGGCCGTTTCCCCACAGGGCCGAGGCCTGTCCATTTCCGGGTGGGGGGAGCCTGGTGCCTGCCCTGGTCACTGACGCATCACCCATTCCCTTGTGTTTCCTTGTGTTGCTGCCACAGCGTGAACTCAGCGTCAGGTAAGACTTCCACCACTGTCTGCATAGATGGAGGCATTTCCAATGTCCACATTGAGCCCCTGGGCTGAGCTGGTACCTAGCCAGGCAGCAGGCAGCCCTTTTCCTGATGCTGAGGGGTGAAGCGGCCCTGTTTCTGCTTCCCCTTGCAAGCAGATAAGGCGTCTGAGGCACAGAGAGCTTGAGTAACTCCCCTGATTACACAGTACCTGTGCTGGCCCACGTTGGCAGAGGCTCCCTTCTGTGGGGCCCGGCTCCAGAGACTGAAGATGTATCCCCAGCAGCTGGAGGGCCTGGCCCTGCCTCCTCGCTGTCTTTGGGGCTGGAGAGGCCTCAGCCCCTCCTTGTCCTTCCCTGCCCACCCTGGCTGTGCTGTGTCCCTCTCTGTCCATCAGCCACTGGTGCAGTGCTTAGATGAGCCAGCAGGCAGGAACCAAGCACCTGCCCCAGCCCAGGGCAGCACCAGGACCCTGTCCTTCCCCTCGGCTGTCTGGAGGCCCGGAAGCTCTGGCTGAGCCACCACTAGGGGCACTTGGAAATGCCTCCAGGGCCACCTTCCCGCCACCTTGCTTCTGGTCCCTGCATGCCTCTCTGCTTGTCCCTCACTAAGACTTGGGCACTGCAGGCATCCTGTCAGGTCCCTCTCGAAGCTCTTGTTCTCGGAACTTTCCAGGCTGTGCCCAGCTCCATTTTCCATTCTCTGGTCACCCAGGGAAGTGGTGGCCAGTGCCCCACGCACGCACCTCCTTCAGCCACAGGAAGTGGCTGGCGGCAGGAGGGAGGTGCTCGAGCTCCTGTGGGGGCCCTGGCCGCCTAGCCTGTGCCTCCACCTGGGGCTGTCTTCAGGAGCCCCACTAAGCAGTCTTCTCTTTGTTCTTTTCCTCTGTGTAAACCCGTTTCCTGCCTTGTTCCCTCCCTGAACACGCTCTTCACCTGGCGAGCAGAGGAAGCTGCGTTGGGATATGTGAGCAGAGCGCGCTGCTGTGCTGCGCTGTGTGCCTCCTGCCCAGGGCTGTGCCTGCTCCCCCGAGCCTCTCCATCCACAGCCCGCACCCTGCTCCCCTGCCCAGTCCCTTTGCATTCCCGCCGCTTCCCCTCCCGCCTGCCCTGGTCCTCCCCCACACGCTGGTTGCCATTGCCTGCCCGTCCAGTCCGCCCTGCTGTCTCCCCCTCCCCTGCTGTCCCCTCTTTGTCCCTGCCCTCCTCCCCACACACCCCCCTTTCCTCTCAGGCTGGGTAGATGTGGGGGACCTGCCCCTGCTGAGTCCCCTTTGCCAGCTCTGCTGAGGGTTCTGCACTGCCTGGAGGTGTGGGCCTGGGCTGGGATTGGCCCACTGCCCAGCTGTCCTTCCAGGGAGGGGCTGGGGACAAGCTTCCTGTCCCAGGTCCAGGACTTTGTCACTCGCAGGAGTCCACCCTCTGCCACCTGGGCCCCTGAGACTTCCTCTGAGCCTGAAGGCCCCCAGGGGCCAGCTGCTGTCCGCTGCCCTCTGCCCTTCACCTGCCAGCATAGGTGGGGCAGCATCCGGCCGGGGCTGTCTCCCCAGAACAGCTACAGCCAGGCAGCCCGCACCCCCCTGCCAGCCGCCTTCCCCACAGTTGTCCCCTCGTGGTGATGCACAGCTGTCCTGGGGCTGGGGGGGCCTGGGTATAAGATGCCCCATTCGTGAGTGTCCCCAATTGGCTTGTGTCCCCAGGGCTGCGCTGGCCTCAGCACACCAGTGCCATCCCCTTCCCCAGACACTGAGTGTCCTCAAGAGCACACCTCAAGTTCGGGGCATGCACACCATCATCAGGTGAGCCCCGTGGGGCAGGGTGGGTGTGGCGACCCCAGGAGCCCATGCCACCGAGCTAAGTGCCACCACCTGGCAGGGACAAGGAGACCAGCCGGGACGAGTTCATCTTCTACTCCAAGAGGCTGATGCGGCTGCTGATTGAGCACGCCCTCTCCTTCCTTCCCTTCCAGGTGAGGACCTGCATGTTGGGTGGCTGGGGCAGGGCTGGGGCAGGGCTGGAGCTCACGCATCCCGGCGGCTCCTTCTGCACAGGACTGTGTGGTGCAGACCCCACAGGGCCAGGACTACGCGGGCAAGTGCTATGCAGGGAAGCAGGTAAGCAGGGCCAGGGCAGCTGGCAGCCGAGGGGCGGGGGCAGTGGCTCACCCTGCCCCCTCTCCCCAGATCACAGGTGTCTCCATCCTGCGTGCCGGGGAGACCATGGAGCCTGCACTGCGTGCTGTGTGCAAAGACGTCCGCATCGGCACCATCCTCATCCAGACCAACCAGCTGACCGGGGAGCCTGAGGTGCTGAGGGTCACAGAGAAGGGCTGGAAGGGGGCCCCAGGGAGCCCAAGGGGGGCACAGCTCACCCTCCACTGCCCACAGCTCCACTACCTGCGCCTGCCCAAAGACATCAGCGATGACCACGTGATTCTGATGGACTGCACGGTGTCTACGGGTGCAGCAGCCATGATGGCAGTGCGTGTGCTCCTGGTAAGTGGGCCTGAGTGGGCACAGAGGCTTCTGTGGAGCTGAGACTAGCCATGGTGCTTGCATGGCCAGGACCATGATGTGCCAGAGGACAAGATCTTCTTGCTGTCGCTGCTCATGGCGGAGATGGGCGTGCACTCTGTGGCCTACGCCTTCCCACGTGTGCGGATCATCACCACGGCTGTGGACAAGCGCGTCAATGACCTTTTCCGAATCATCCCAGGCATTGGTGAGGCTACCCTGGCCCTCTCACTGGTGCCCGGGGCAGGGCTGTGGCCCCAGGGGCCCCACCCCACTGGGCTGCTTCTTTCAACAGGGAACTTTGGTGATCGGTACTTTGGGACAGATGCAGTCCCAGAGGGCAGTGACGAGGAGGAGGTGGCCTCCACAGGCTAGCTTTCCAGGCTGAGCCCTCCACCCTCACCCCACTTCCTCTGCCTCCTGCCTGGGATTGCAGAGCAAAGGGTGTTCATTGAAGCTGGGTGTGGTGCCACATGCTTGTCATCCCAGCACTCGGCAGGCTGAGGCAGGAGGATCACCATGACTTCAAGGCCAACCTGGGCTACACAGTGAGTTCAAGGCCAGCTTGAACTACAGAGTGAGCCCTGTCTTAAAAAAAGAAAAAAATGTTAATTTATTTTAATTTACGAGAAAGTTACCAAGAAATTTAATCTACTTTATAAAATAAATAAAGCTTTGGAAAATATAAGTATGACTGGTTAGCTGGGATGCAGAGGGTATCCCGGCCAGGACCTGAGCATGGGCAGTGTCCCCCCGGGCTGCAGGAGGTGCAAGGCCACCACAGTGGGTATAAGGGGGCCTAGGGTTCCCCCAGTGGGGCAGAGGCCCCAGCCTTGTACATACTTTCTTGGAGTAAAGGGCTCCTTGCTGCATGGTGCTGAGGGCAGGCCCAGGCCTGAGAGCCACACAGCTTGGTGACCACCCACCCTGGACCCAGGAAGGGTACAGGGCCACCCAAGGTTCTGAGTGTCACAACTCAGCCTCTGTGACTGCTTCCCCCAGCCACGTTTGTATCATCAAAGGGCCCAGTGGAAAACAGTGTGGGCAGCTGTGGGAAGGACTGAGTAGTGGAAAGACCCCTAACTGCAAGGCCATGGCCAACGTTGGACACACACCCAGGCCCATCCTGGCACACCTGGACTCCAGAGGGTGAGGGCCAGCTCCTTTGGTCACCTCCGATACGCCCCCAGGTTGATCCTGCCTGGGCAGGGTGATACAGATACAAATATGTGCATGTGCAGCGTTGATCTCCAAGCTATGGCAGGTGGGCTGCGACCCAGGATGGCCACCCTGCCGAACTCCCTGTCCATCCAGGCCTGGTTTGTACCTCTTGGCCGGCTTGCCCTGCCCCCTAAAGGCCTTGTCATGAAAAGCTTGTCTTGGGGGCGGGTACAGAAAATTGCTGGGCGGAAGCGGCAGCCTGCAGATAAAGCAGGTGGCTTGCCCAAGGGGCAGCCAGGCACTGGGCACAGAACTGAAGCAGAACTTGGATCACTGTCTGTGGAGGTGAGTGGACCCCACCCATGTTTCCAGGACTTGGTTCACCAGCTTACTTGGGCTCCAGGCTGGAAACCTGCAGACCATACGTCCCTGGACCCTGAGCTGGGGAGAGGCCCTTCCTTCTAGACAGGTCTTGGATGAGGAGCAAGGAACGGGCACAGCCCAGGCCATTCCTGGGAGGGTTCCACCCCTCTCCAGTCAGGCTGATTTGGTCCCAGAGAACAAATCAAAACCATGCGTGCATGTGTGCGCCAGCATCACCATCCACACACATGGCACATGCAGCCACACGGCACACACCAGACACAGATGCACATGCAGTTGTAGATGATGGGATTCAGGGCTGGAAGCAGTGGGGTACCAGCCCCCAGGAAAAGGGAGCTTCATCCCTCTTTTTTGGGGGGTGGGATATGCCCTCTCTTTTTCTAATACTGGGGAGGGAATTCAGGCCCTTATGCATGTTAAGCAAGTGCTCTAGCTCTGAGCTACACCCCCAACTTTATAAAATTTTATTTCAAGACAGATTCTTGCTAAATTGCCCATGTAGTCTGGAAATTGTGGTCCTCTGCTTCAGCCTCCCAAGTAGCTGAGTAGAGGCATGCACCACAGTGCCTAGCTCTAGCTCATACCTTTTTATTTTTGAAACAGGTCTCACTATGTAGGTCAGGCTGGCCTTAAACTCACTATGCAGCCTCAGCCTCCCCAGTGCTGGGATTACACCTGGCTTTTTTAAGTGTCAATGGGGGCCTAGAATAGATCCTGCAGGCAGGAACCTGAGGGCCCTGCATTGATGTCCCCATCCACATGACTTTTGTGCTTCTCGGAGGTCTCAGGCTTGGGTCTCCTTTTATGGGAATAGCTCAGGGCCCGCTGAGGCTAGGTCACAGTTAAGGAGGTTCTTGGACCCATTTCAACTAGGGGCACCTTCCAAGTATCCCTGGGAGAGAGTCTTCAGGTTGCTAGAGATGGTTGGGGCAATTCCTCTGGCCCCTGGGAGCCTTCTAGTACCAGGAGACTAGGATGCAGGTCTAAACCCTTCCTAGACCAGTGCAGCTGCTGCAGGCACTGGGGACTTGTGGATTAGAGCACTGTTGGCCTTGAGGCTGAGGTTGGGCAGAGCTTTCCAGGGAGCCTGCTGAGATTTGATTGGGGGCTGGGTGCCAGGAGGTTTTGTGCTGCCCTCCAGGTACCTTGGTTCCTCTGAGACCAGTGCAGGCTGAGGGGTGAGTGCTGTGCCGCCAGGAGGAAGGGAAGCCTGGGACTGAGCAGGGAGCGTGTGACAGGCCAGTCAGGACCCTGCCGGGACTGGGGTGGGCTGGATGCAGACCTGGCCCCCCTCCTTGAACTTGTCCAAAGTTCCTGTGACCCTGAGGGAAGGCTAAGGCTCCCTGAAGAAGTCTGCTTGTTCTGGTTCTGCCAGCTACCCCTGGGCCGTGCCTCCAGGACTGTCCAACCTGAGAATGCTGTGTCCAGGTCAGTCTCAGGTTTGTCAGCCTGTGAGGTGCTGCCCTTTCCCCAGCGTCAGCTGTCACAGGTGCCCTGGCTTGGTGGGTTGGGAAGCCCAGGGTGCCCAGCAGAAGGGTGTCCATGGTCATGACAAGGTCCTGGGGGTCATCGTGTGCTGTGGGCAGTAGATGTGACGTCTGGGATGAGCTAGAAAAAGACTGACCCTCTCGGCACCTGAGCAGGCCCCCCGGAAGCAGAAAGCACCAGGCAGAGATGTCTGGACACCTGGGGCCTTTGGCCTGTTTCAGGCCCAGTTGCTCCAGGATAAATCCTGAGCAAAGGGCCTTCTGGATGGACACCTTCAGAGCTGGACAGCTCCCCCACGGGGCCGAGCGGGGGGGCGGGGGGCAGCAAGCAGCCAGCTAGGACCCTGGAGGTGAGGCGATTTTTAAGACTCTCAAGGGTCAAGTGGAAGGCTTGAGAGCAGGTAAGGTGAATACCCTCCCCTCAGGATTAAGCCCAGCGATTCCCTCAGCTACATCCCTACCTACTTATTTTTAAATTTTGAGAGGGGCTTGCCAAGTTGCCCAGGCTGACATATATACGGGCGCTGAAAGGTGAGGACCAGGCTGGGAGCAATGCCACGACTTCAGACCCCTGGGCTCTCCTCACTGCGCCCCCCAGCGCCCGTCCTGCCGGGGTCCGGAGGTGTGAGTCGCGAGTATCCCTGGCGGGGAGGGCGGGGAGAGCGGGGAGGGGGGCCGCGCCCCGAAAGATGGGGTCTGGGCGTGCGCGAGTCCTCGGCCAGCCCCGCCCAGCGTGGGTTCCAGAGCTCTGCTCGCACCGCCTCCTCTTGGGCCCGGCCGTCCTGGGTCCTTCCCGGGCTCTCCGCGTCCTTCCTCCGGCGGCCTCTCAAGGGGTCACCGCCGTGCTCCACCGGTCAAGGGCAAGCTGCGTGGCCATCTGCGCGCCTGCCGCGCTGGTCAGAGGGCAGCGAAGCTCCCACAGGCCCCGCCCGAAAACCCCGCCCACCCTCAGGCCCCGCCCCGGAAGCCCGCCCTCGCAGGCCTCGCCCAGGAAAGCCCCCGCCCTCCCCGAGGTCGGGGGCTGGCGGACCCAGCGGCTTCCCCTGCCGCCTACAGGTGGAGGAGGGTCGGGTCCCGATGTCCACTTCCCTGAGTGTCCATCGTTCAGACTTGGCGCCACAGCTTCTGAGGGGTTGCCACATGTACAATACTGAAAATAAAAACATGGATTCCACCTACGTAAGAAAATTTGAGCTGGGCGTGGTGGCGCACACCTGTAATCCCAGCACTAGGGAGGCTGAGGCAGGAGGATCACCGTGAGGTCGAGGCCAGCCTGGGCTACCTAGTGAGTTTAGGGCCAGCCTGAACTACAGAGGGAGACCCTGCCTCAAAAACCAAAAACAAAACAAAGTAAAATTCACAGAACGCAGGAGAAAGATCTGACGCTAAGGACGCGGAGGACGGGACGGCGCGACAGCAGGAGAGCCACGCGGCGCCACGGGGACCCAAGCAAGGAAAGGCCTCCAGACGCGTCTCCACGACCCCACCGAGGCAGCTTTGTTTCCACAGTGAAAAACGAAAAGCCCGTGTGAGGCCGGTTCCTAAGCGGTTCGCGCGAGCGGAAACTGACGGAGGCCGAGGTGCAGCCACGCGGTCCGTGAGACCGGCCGCCTGCCTGCTGCGGCGCGAGACAGGTCAGGGCCTTCGCACTGAGCTACACAGGGTCCCGCTAAATTGCCCGAGCCGAGCTTGCCATCCTTCTGCTGCAACCTCCCGAGGTCCTGGGATTACAAGCATGCACCACCGTGCTTGCCCACCGACAGATTTTTAAGAAGACAGACATCTGGGACAGGGATTTAGCTCGGTGGTGGTAGAGCTTGGCTCGAAAGCAGACTGGTGGCAGACGCCTGTAGTGATCCCAGCACTCTTGGAGGCCGAGGGAGGAGGATCACAGGTTCGAGCCCAGCCTGGGAACTTCGATTTACTGAGACCTGATCTCAAAACATAAGAGTGAAAAATGAAGAGGATGGGAACGTGGCTCAGGGCGAAGGCCCTGGGTTCAATCCTGTCTCCAGTAACAGCACCACTATCACCCCCGACCCCCGCACAGAGGCACCAGGTCCTGGATTCAGTTCCCAGAACCAAAATAAATGGACAAAATCATACTGGATGAAAAGTTCACACTGTAACCTAGTACAGTGCTTAGTTTATGTAAAATTGTGTAAACTGGGGGATGCATGTTGTTTATGGAGCTAACACTGGCAGACAAGCTTCACTTTTTATTTTGGCTTTTTGAGCCCAGGTCTCAGAATGTAGTTCAGGCTGGCCTCAAACTCCCAGCAATCCTGCCTCAGCCTCCCAAGTACTGGGACTACAGGTGTGCACCACCACGTGTGGCTGGCAGACAGGCTTTAGACTTGTGGACAGAAAAGGATGGAAATGGAGGGGCCACCCCAGAGGGGAGACCAGGTTAGGGGGAGAGGACCAAACTGGTCTTCAATGCAGTTAATTTTTTTTAAATACAGAAAACTTCAATCAAATTACTTCATCTTAAACCTGAATGGTATCAAGGTATTTTTCTGCTTTTTTCCCCCAAATATTTAAAAAATTTGCTTAACAATTGCTCTTCAGGTCAGAGCTTTTCATCTTGTCCTGCCCTAAGATCAAAGGCATAAGAAGACCTGAGCCTCCCACCCACAGGGAGCTCAGGTGGGAGGCGAGATCTGCAGTGGACAGCAGAGCTGTCAAACCACAGGGTGGCTTCTGCAGCTGTCAGGACGTCAGTTCTGTAGGCCTCCTGACAGGAGCAGGGTGGCTTTCTTGGTCCCAGCCCCACCCAGGCAGGAGCCAAGTGTGTGCAGGGCAGCCCCTCAGGGACACAGGTGCCTTTGGGCAGACATGACACCAGCTGCAGGAGCCCCGGATGGGCTGCTTATCCTGCAGGTGGAGGACAGAGGCACAAGGGCTGAGCTTAGGCTGCACTGTGCCAGGCCAGGGCTCCTGGCACCTTTTCCTGACGTCAAGGTAAGGGAAGGAAGCCTCTATCACAGCACCCGAGGGACTGACAGAAAGGCTGAGTGGGAGACAGCAGGCAGCACAAGGCAGGATCATCAGGTCAGTGGCACGCTGGGCAGTGGGGCAGGTCGCTGCAGCCAGGCGTCCAGGTGCCTAGGGAGGATGGGTAGGACAACCCTGGGAAATCTGAATGGCCAGGACAGAGGTGAGCGAAGATGGAGCTGGCAGCGGATAAACCTAGAACACAGGCTCAGAGGCAGTGATGCTCCAGGGGACAGCAGGGCCGAGCTGTCTCCATGTCCTCTACCCTTCCCTACCTTTATGCTGCCAGGTCAGCTCAGAGCCTTTCGTGGGGTGAAGGGCCGAGTTGGCACTAGTTCATGATGGCACCTGCTCATCTGGGAGCTGGGCCAGCCGACACAGCCACACCCAGCAGCACGAGCAAGGTGGGAAGCAGTCTGTGGAAGGCAGCAGGACAGTCTGCGCTGAGCCAAGAGGTGGTGCTGCTCAGCCATGCGGGTGGGAGACAGCAGGACCAAGGACTATGGGCTTGAAGAGACCCCAGGGCTTCACCAGGGTGCGGGTGTGGTATCACTGGCTCTGGGTCCACAAGGTGAGGATTTGGCCAAGACCTCGAGGACTTGTGCTGCAGGACTTGGTGCCCATGGCTCATGGCCTCATTAGCTAACAGGCCCCTTTCTTTATTGCAAGCTTTGTACTTAGGAAATGGAGGGGATTTGGCTCAGCGATGCCGCTCCTGCCTTGGAAGCACAATGTCCTGAGTTCCATCCCTGGTGGAGGTGGGAAAGAAGAGTAGAGAGGGGGGAAAGAAGGGGGACACCCACGCCTGCCTTGGAAGTGGAAGGTCCTGAGTTTGACCCCTGGTGGTGGTGGGGTAAATGGAGGCAAAAAGAGAACCTAGAGGAGGGGTATTCACACCTGTACCAGGCAGGAGAGAAATGAGAGCCCAGCCACCAGGGTCAGAGGCCAGCTGACACCTCAGGGTAAGACTCATGAAAGTAAGAGGATTCTGAAGACAGCATTAAATAAGACACACCTGGTCTGCAGTGAAAACATTTATTTTACAACAGTTATCTTTATTTTAGGTCAACATTCAGACAAACAAGATGGTGATCACCATGTGAAGCCACCTGAGCCCTGCAGCCTGGCCCTTGGAGTGCAGGTAGGAAGGAGTCAGTCAGGCAGGGCTCCGACAGCAGGCTGTACCCAAGGGTGACTGGGCCCTGCGAATGGGGTAAAACCAGTGCATGGACAACTGCCTTCCATGTACTTGCATCGAATTTTAAAAAATAGCATATATATGCTTCAGTGTAAATTACCCCACCCCATCCAGTATGGAACACTGCCCCCTTTTCAGGAAATCAAATCTCCCAGACACTGCCTGCAGGGCACTTGGCCTAGCCCCTTCCTGGAGGGTGTGCAAATTCCCTGTGTCCTTCCGAGGACTGGCCAGTATGGAGTCCCTGCCCAGGCTGCCTTCACAGGCGAGCTTTCCACTGACTGTACCTAGTGCTCAGAAAAGTGGTTTCGATGTTTTAAGGAAGGAGGGTTTCCAGTCATCCCCTTCCTAGCTTTCTCATACCTGTGGATGAGACGAGCATGACAGAGCCCCAGGAATGGACGTTTGTGACAGCTACCTCATGCCCAACCCTGCTAAAGCCCAATGCTGGCAGGGCCTCCGCAGTGCTTCCCGGCACCAGTGCTTTCTGCACGCAGGGGCTGAGTTTCCTACTGTGCATCCACTGGAGGCCGTACGGAGACCCTACCCTGCCCAACTTGCAAAGAAACCACAGCTGCTTGAGAGCCAACTTTATTGTACTTGTCGCTTAGCCACTGGACAGCAGCATGACAGGCCTGCTGCACAATATATACATATACACATATGTACACACAGACACACACCACAGCCCACACTCAAACCGTGCTTGTACAGTAAAGATGTAGCTTTTGCCAATTCCACAGGAGGATGGTTTGTAACCAAAACATAACAGAAACAAGTCAGGCCTGGGCCGCAGGGGTTTACAGCTCAGAATACTGGGAAAGGAATGAGATCAGCCAGTGGGTACACCCCTCACAAGCCACTCCCCCACAGCAGAGTGTGCTGAGGCTCCGCAGAGGGTGGCAAGGATCCACCCTGCTCTGCCCGCAGCACCTGGACCCTCCAGCGACAGCCTGCATGCCGGGGCCACCATCTCCCGAGACCCCCAGCTACACCTGTGGAGGCTGCTCCAGCACGAGGCTCCCCTGGAACAGACTGCTGTGGGCTCAGGAGGACAATGGGCACTGCTGCCAGGGGAACACGGGTCACATATCTGAAGAGTCCTGACCTTTCCTGATCCAGCGCCTTTCCTGGACTGGCGCTTATGGTCAGGTCCAACAACCAACAACACCGAGATGAAGTTTCCTGTTCACTACACTGAATGCTCCACTTTCTTTTTCTAACAGGTCCCCATTGGGTGTTGGCTATACCAACTGATCAGACAACTAGGAAGGCTCGTGAACAGTGAGCAGTAATATCTAAAGCAGTTTAAAAATAGAATAAAGCCTAAAGGAAGACAAGAAAAGACCACATCACTGAACGGAAACAGAAATCTACAGAGCAGCAGCAACAGCAGCTCCCGTGAGATGGCCTCACAAGTTCCTCCCATCCCTGACCACGCTGCCTGGACCCTGAGGGGCACCCAGGCTCCGACAGGCTTCCATGCACACTGGCCTCAGCACGCTCCAGGCAATACGCCCTGGTGAAGCAGACTGCTGCTATGGCCACCAGCACAGGAGCCTGGAGAACTGGGAGTTGTTCTGATTTGCTAGCATTTGGACAGGAAGTGGTGCAACCTGACTCCCTCAGACTCACCAGGTCTACTTGTTAAAAGGGCCCAAACCAGGCAGGCCTGAGACCAACACAGTAAAACACTGAAGCGGGGTTTGCTACAAGGTCAGGCAGCGGGAAGGGCTCCCGACCCTGACATTCACAGTTATCCCCAGCTGGGCCTTGGGTGAGCCCTGTCATCACCTTGACAACCATCTTATTCATCTTTGCACATTCTACATGATTTCCTTAGCTTTACAAACTCCACTGGACACTGGGTTCAAGTGCTGCTCTCCTTCCCCAGCCACTGTCCAGGGTTCTCAGCTGAAGAGATCTGGCTAGGGTCACTGGACGGGGGAAAGAGCCACAGAGCTGCAGACTACACGCCCCAGGCAGGCCTCCACACTCTACCATGTCCACACTCTGAACCTGGCTCCTGGCCACTCTGGGGAAAAACAACTCACTTTTAAGGGTCTCTAGGAAGTCATAGAGGTTGAACCAGGTGGCCTTTCTGCAGAGTCCCTCATTACTGTCATACTGGGACTGGCACACATGATACCCAGTGGTCTCACCTCCTGTTTCCAGATGGGCCCAATAGTGCATTTCTTATCCTTCCACAAGAAGTCCCATGTTAACAAACTATGTCTAACAAATCCTAGATGAATGCCTCCCTAATGTCTTCATGATCATTTGAATGAGCCAAACAGACGAACCCACCCAAGCACCTGGTGCTGGCACCAACTGGCTCCTGGCCCATGTGGAGCAGCAAGCAGTAGGAGGAGCTGGGGCTGTAGCATCACTGCTCTAACCAGTGAGGTATTCCGAAACATGTTAGGTTTGTCCTCAGCTTGCTGCCCTTTCTTGCAACTTCCTATCACCCTAACCCTACTCCTGGACATGCTGGTGAGCTGGGGCCAAAAATCAGCAGGTGGGGCAAAGCACACTTTGGGAGCACACGTCGTGTAGCAAGTCGTCTGGGCCAGAGAGTCTCCACATGAGCCTTCTCCTCCTTCACCTCTACTGGAAACTGAGACGATGCTTGGCACTGGAAGGTTTGCAGGAACCCAGCTCACTGGAGTCTGGTCCAGCACGCGCAGGGAGCTGCTGAGGGTGGGACAGCTTCAAACCTTGGTCAGTAGGGGCACACAGTCTACATCTCCTCAGGTCCCCACCCAGGGCACCACCTACAAGGCCTGGGCACAGATGCGAGAGACTGAGTGCTAGTGGTTTACACAGGGGTTTGTGGTCCAGCTCTAAACTTCCAGGCTGGCTGATGAGCTGAGGCATCAGTGCAACCTCCCTGGGACCCGACCCTTCTGAGGTACCTTGGCTCCAGAAGCCTTCCTCCAGGAACCCAGTACTCTTGCTCTTGGATCACGGATGACAGGCACAGATGAAGCCAAGGGGGTGCACCAGGCTCTGGCAGCAAAGGGACAAGGGTCCCCGGGGCTGGGCACTTCCACAACACTTCCTGGGCGCAAGCAGCCATGTGCCATCGGCCAGAGACTCAGACCCTCGCATTATGAATAAGGAGATCCTATCACTTGTGGTTTTCAGAAGTTCAGAAAGGTTTAAAAAATAGGTGGGTTTGAAGGAATGTGGAGTCAGACCTACAGAAGGGGAGGAGAGACTGTGGCCCCATCAATCCAGCGGTCAGCCTGGGAAAGGGACAAGAGCAGGGACAAATGACCTCCCTACACAGGCAGCTGACAGCTCTGAGGCCAGGAACCTCAGTGCACGTGGCAGAGACCCAGGCGAAGGATCCTTCGCTGTGCAGAGTGTGCGAGTGCATCCTCGGAAAGGGTGTGCCTGCACTCTCCTCAGCATGTCTGCCCTCAGGAGAACCCTGCTATGAGGCCAAGTGCAGAAGGTGCACACTGTACCCACACAAGCACTGCGACAGTGGCTGTGATGCTGGCAGAGCCGGGAGGATGTGGCCCTCACTTTCCCAGCCAGTGAGATCAGTGTCCCGCCTGCAGCCTCAGGCCAGGGAGCGCAGTGTGGACCAGACCCACCTCAGGACAGACACCAAGGCCAAGATGGAGATGCAGCTCCACCAGGCAGCGCTGCCTCCAGCCCTGGTGGGCACCAGAAAGCAAGGGGAGGCCCCTCCGTTTCTAGCCCAACCGGCTAGGTGGAACCTGGCAGCTATGGTCAGCCCTTCCTGGACCAACCCAACTGAAAGCCCCGAGGCAGCTCCACCGTCCAGTTAATGCAGCTAGGCTGAGGCACGTCCACAACACAGACACTGAACATAACCCATACATGCTATTAAAAAAGGAAAAACAGAGAAGACCGTAGCTACACTGCTTTAAATACTGCATGCTACGCACTTCGTGTATCGAGGATCGACGGATGGGTGGGCGTAGAGGAGGTGGAAGGGGGCCGACGCAGCCAGGCAGGTCAGCCGCTGCCTCCCCATCTTGGTGACTACAGTTCATGATTCTAAGGTTGCAGTGGCTGGGTGCTGATTCACCCTCTAATCACAGCTTTTCCTGAACTTAGTTGAACCCGTCAGTGTGGTAACTGGGGTGGGAGTCAGCCGTGAGCTGGGTGGTCTCTGTGGCGGACGCTGGCTGTATGACGATTGGTGTATCTGTGGCCTCTGCAAAGTAAGCAAGCAGCCTCATCGTACAGGAGGAGCAGCCGCCCCATGCACATCAACAGGGTTCTCGCACCACAACACTCGCCACCTGGACAGACGCTCGGGGGAGAGGCTACTGCTGAGCTCCACCCAGCAAACTTCCCTCAGTGGTCTCAGGTCATCACCAGCCCCCAGCCTCCCCACCTGCCTGCTGCCCTCCCCACCTCTTGTTCCCTCGGATCTAGGCTAGCACAGTTCATGGGCGGGGACAGATCCCTGCACCTGCTTTACCTCAAGTGTCCACGTTCACACCTCAACAGTCCCAGCTGCCACCACAAACACTCGCGGCACAGTGTCAGTGCCCTCCTGTTTGACAAGACAGTTGACACTGTTCAGGGCCCAGCCAGCTCTGTCCCACGAACACACGCATGGAGGTCCTGGGGCAGGCACTCACCCCTCTCATCAGACTGCAGCTGTGCCTCCAGGTCCTCAGGGGACACGTAGAACTCGGTCTCTTCACCCTCAGGAGCCTTCGGCTTACACTTCCCGCAGCAGCAGTTGAAGCAGCAGCACAGGCAACAGCAGCAGTAGCAGCAGGTGAGGAGGCCGCAGAAGACAAACAGGGCCTAGGGAGAGAATGCTGGCACTGCATGGCCTCCCAGGGTCCCACAGGCCGCCGTGCAAGGGACCTCCCCAGAGGACAAGAGTTGTGGAGGACACGCTCCATGTTAAAGGGTATGCTTTTCAGATGAAAAAGCTTGGAAAGGGAGGGCAGGAGACAGAGCAGTAATTTATAGACAGGACTGAGGGCTGACTAGTGAGGGCAGGTATGGACTTGCCACAGCTAAGAATCATGGCATAATTCACACCCTCTGGACTTATACATGGTAGACAAACAGGGAAAACATGGAGGTTAATAAAAAACAAAACAAATGATGGAAGTCAAGAGTTTCTGACATTAGATTTCAAGATCTCTTCCCCTTCCCTGGCAACAAAAAGCCTAAGCAGGCCATTCCAAAGAGATTCATTTCCCAGCTCAATCCTCTTAAGAACTTAGAGCCACACAGGAGAAGCCTTGTTGGTACATGCTGCTCAGCATGGGCCCTCCTGCATGCATATGTACACGCTGGCCGCCGTCCCAGCTGCAACCACTGCCCACTGCACTGGAGTAAGAGGACTCTATGCACCAGAGACCATTTCTTTTTTTTTGGAACCAGGGATCAAACTCGGGACCTTGTGCTTGCAAGGCAGGCAGCAGAACCACTAAGCTAAATCCCCGGCCCTAGAGACCATTTCTTAAGAGTGTGGAGTGTCTGAATCAAATGCATGGATCCTAGGGCAGGGATTTAGCTCAGTGGCACCACACCTGCTTCACAGGTGCAAGGTTCTGAGTTCGATTCTGTGTACAAAAAAAAAGAAAAGCATGGATCCTTTTTGTTTGTTTTGGTCCCAGGGATCGAACTCAGGACCTTGTGCTTTCAAGGCAGACTGCGGCAACACTGAGCTAAATCCCTGGCCGTGTTTTTGTTTTTTGAGACAGGGTCTCACTATATAGGTCAGGCTGACCTTGAACTCAGTGATCCTCCTGCCTCAGCCTCGGGAGTAGCATGCCGATCCCCTCCTTACCTTGGCCCACCAGCTGGAGAGCACGAAGTAGGTGTTGACGTTCTCTTCCCCGAACTGCTCGGCCACATAGAGCCCCAGAGAGCCGTACTTGTCATAGATGTTCCTTTTTGTGGCATCCGTCAGGATGGCGTGGGCGTTGTTGATCTCCTTAAACTTGTCTGCAGCCTCTGGGTTATCAGGGTTCTTGTCTGGGTGATACTTCAGGGCAAGCTTCCTGCAAACCAAAACCGTTTCCTGGCTCTACTTGTTCTGACATTTCATGCTCATCCACTGGAGGGTCCAGAGGAAGAAATTATTTACCCATTACCACATCAATTTCCAGTATTTCAGAGGTCTGATGTCAGGGTCAAAAGAAACCTGCAACTGTTTCAGGGCAAGCTTCTGCTTCGTCTCCACAGGACAGTCCTGAGGTATGAGTGCCAGGCACAGCAGGCAGCACTCTTCTGCTAACTTCCAACAGCACAGAAGGAAACCCTAACAGCGACCCCTAGTGCCTCAGCCGGCTTACTGCACACTTGGCAATGAAACTATAGGCAGGGAGGGCACAATATTGGCACCTTAGAACGTGCATCACAATTTATCACTTGTCTGTCTTGGCTGGGTGTTTTGGTGCCAGGGATCGAACTCAGGACCTTGCTCTTGCCAGGCAGGTGCTGTGCCACTGAGCTACATCCCTGGCCCTGTTTTGTTTTTTGAGGCAGGGTCTCCCTATGTAATTCAGGGTGGCCTCAAATTTGTGATCCTTCTGCCTCAGCCTCCCAAGTGCACCATGAGCCACCACACCTGGCAAGACAATTCTAAGAATGCAAAAGAAACACCAGCTGGGCGTGGTGGTACATGCGTGTAATCCTAGCACTCTGGGAGGCTGAGGCAGGAGAATCGTGGAGGCCAGCCTGCTCTAGTAAGCTCAAGGTCATTTCTCAAATTCCCTGTGGAACTGGAGATAGCTGTAATATCTGAAAGTGTTTAGCTTTTGTTGCTGAGAGAACATTATTACCATGACAGTTACAGACTATGAGGAGCACACCACACATACAGAAATGCAAAAGAACTGTTACCAGTTCCATACTGAATCTGCACAAGAACCCTCCCTGTTCAAGGCTTCCTGGTAAAATGGAGATTAAACTACTTGAAGGCTTGTGTCCTTCTGGCAGGGCAGGGGCCCTTGCTTGGCCACTTACCGATAGGATTTTTTAATGTCATCTGAAGTTGCATTCTTGTCCAGCCCGAGAACATGGTATAGCGATTCTCCGGAGGTAGAAAGTGAGCGCTGCCTCTGGTCTGCCATAGTAGGTTAATCTACAAGAGAATAATAAAGGAAAACATCAAGGACAAATAAAATCTCTAAGTGCGGAGTTGACAGTGTATTCCATACAACTGTTTAAACCACAAAATTAAAACCATGGTTTATAATGTGTTCAGACAGACTCCAACCCATAGAAGAGTGGGGGGAGCAGTTCTACCTGGGGGATGTGTGCGCATGCACAACACAAAGAGCTACAATACTGCTGCTTAAGAAACATGATGGGACATTGAAGATGTGTGCCCTGCAGTCCCAAGAGCAACCTCTCCATGCAAAATGCAAAGAGGGGCTGGGCTTCTACAGACCTCAGCGGAAGCGCACTCAGGTGCCGAGCAACCTCGCACCCTCAAGAGCCAGGGTCATCCGCAGCACTGCAACAAGCAAACCAAAGCACAAAATCTAAGAGGGACAGCTAAACAAGTTTAAAGGAAAATGCTAAGGGAACTCTAAAAAGTCAAATTATACAGAACACAGGGAAAAAACAAAATAAATGAGTACATTTACACATCAATAATGAAATTCAAAGTTATCCTGGGGATACATGCCTGTCTTGAAATTATATTTATACAGCATCTAACTTCCATAGAATAGACATTCTTCTTCAGTGCACATTGTAAATTGACTAAAACATAACACTGGGCCTTAAAACAGGTTTAAAAAACTCAAATGGATCGAAACTATACACAGAATGTTATCTGACCTAAAAAAAATTAAATTAGAAATTAATTTGATATTAGCTAGGGATGGTGGCACACACTAGTACAGGTAACCCCAGCTCTCTGGGAGGCTGACGCAGGAGGACTGAAAGTTTGAGCCCCCCCTTCCCCCACAACTGAGTGTCTACAAATGAAGGGGAGGGGAGGAGAGGGAAGGGGTCAGGTTCAGTGTGAAAGCCTTGGGTTCAATTCCTAGCATTGTAAGAAACAAAAACACACTTCCAAATAACATGTAGTTCAAAGAAGAAATCACATCCAAATGCGGTGGTGCACACCCGTAACCAGCATTCTGAGAGGCTGAGGCAGAAGGATTCCAAGTTCAAACCCAGTCTGGACTAGGATTTACATCATTAGTATCCTGGTTCTCAGGCCTTAGACTCTCACTGGAACTACACCACAGGCTTTCCTCAGACTCCAGCTTGCTAATGGTAGATTGTGGGACTTCATCATGTAAGCCAATTCCTAATTTTATATCTCTCTCTATATCTATCTATAGCTATATATCAGGGATCAAATCCAGGGCTCTGTTAATACTAGGCAAGCACTCTACCACTGAGCTACACCCCAGTCATAATCTCCTTTTTGATACAAATATGGGTTACCAGTATACCAGTTCTGTTTTTTAGGAGAATACTGACATATTCATCAAGACCCCACATAAAGCTAGAAAACAGGGAAAACCCAAAATAAATAGAAGAAGGAAATAATAAAGCATGAAAATAAAAGGAAAAATCATGATGAAAATGTTGAAAGATCTTCTCTTTTTTTTTTTGGTACTGGGGATCGAACCTAGAACCTTGTGCTTACAAGGCAGGTGTGGCACCACTGAGCTAAATCCCAGGCTGGAAAGAACTTTTTGAGATGGAGCAGACAGGCCTTCAGGACAGGACTAAGGTAGAATTCCAGTTGGTGTCTAGAATAAGCCTTGGTTCCTTTTGCCCTCTGCCCACAGGATCTGAACAGATGGTTATACTATGTCCAAAGATTCAAGATGTGCACCTAAAAATTCTGAGACCTCACTCTATACACCTCTTCATCTGGTTGTATGCTTTGAGACACTCTCTGAAATAAGCTGATAGATAAGTTTCCCAGAGTTCTGTGAGCTCTGCACCAAATAGATCGAATCTAAGCTGGGGGTTGTAGGAACCCTGATTTACAGGCAGCTGGTTAGAGCCACAGGAAAGTCTGGGGCTTGCAGCTGGCAGTGTCCAGGACTATACCCGTCCCTGTGGGGATGCTTCCTTCAGGCAGACAACCAGAACCTAACTGGATGGGAGTGTGCCCGGATGGTGCCCACCAGAACACTTGACTACTTAAGGAGTGTAAGGAAACACATGTCTGGTCACAGAAGTCTCTACTGACTGCTGAAAGTATAGGAGAAACTGAGTCTATTCTTTTCCTATGTCTTCACTCAGACTGACCAAAAAGAACAAGAGAACAGAAATCAGCAACATGAGCAGAGTTCATTGCAAGGATCCAACAGGCACGAAGAAGGCAGTGAGTGAACATCCGGAACAACATCGCACCAGGAAGTTAGAAAAGTTAAAACAGACCAGTACCTTGAAAACACAACTTACTGAAATTGATACAGGATGAAACATAAAGTCCAACCACCCCTGCATGTGAACAAAATTAATATTAAAAGCTGTCAAAATTACAGCTGGCTGTGGTGGCAAACAACTGTAACCCCAGCACTGTGGGAGGCTAAAGCAAGAGAATTGAAAGTTTGAGCCCTACTTGGTCAATTTAGTGACTTGATGAGACCACCTCAAAGTAAAAGAAAGGGGGCCGGGGATATATACATATA